ATGGAATGATCTTGTCAAACCAAGAGAGTAGTTTTTTTTTTTTTTTGGTTTTTCTCCGGTACCGGGAACCGAACTCATGACCTTGCACTTGCCAGGCAGGCACTTTGCCACTGAGCTAAATCCCCAGCCCCCCAAGAGAGTAGTTTTTAAGAAGAGGAAAAATTTAAAAATCAACATAAAAAGTACACAATGACAAGAATGAGTCAATACCTTTCAGTGATAATTTTCAGTGTAAATGTAAATTGCCTCAACTTAGCAAATTAAAAACACAGGCTGGTAGACTGTATCAAAAAACAGAATCCAACAGTCTGTTGCATTCAAGAAACTCATATAATCCAAAAAGAAATTCACAGACTAAAAATCAAAATGTGGAAAATAATACTTCATGCACAAGGATCTTGAAAGCAAGCAGGGTAGCCATTTTTATTCTGTCAAACCAAAACTGATAAGAAGAGGGAAAGAAGGTCAGTACATGTTAGTTAAGAAAACAATTCAACAGGAAGAGATAACAATTGTGAACATATATGCACTGAATACAGGGGCACTTAACTTCATAAAACAAATGCTGCTGGACATAAAAAGAAATCAGATAAACACCAACACAATCATAGTAGAAGACCTCAACACCCCACTTTAATATAGAGACAGATCAACTAAACAAAAAATTAATAAAGAAACATCAGAGGTCAATCACACCTTTGAACAAATAGATGTAGTAGATGTCTACAAAATGTTCTATGTTACTACAACAGAAAACACATTCTTCACAGTAGCACATAGAACTTTCTCAAAAATAGACTACATACTAGTCCATAGACCCTGATTAAGTACGTACAAAATAACTAAAATCATCGCATGTATCATATCAGATCATAGTGCACTGAAGCAGGAAATCAATTGCAAAAGAAGGCACAGAAATGGTATTAACAATTAGACATTAAATAACTCACTCCTAATACTCAATGGCTCACAGGAGAAATTAAACAATTCCTAGAATAAAATGATAATGCCAGTATTACACACCATGGGACAAAATGAAAACACTCCTAGGAGGGAAATTTACTACTGTGAATGATTACATTGGAAAAACAGCACAAGTTCAAGTAAACAGTCTAATCACGCACCTGAAGGTCCTAGAAAAACAAGAACAATCCAAATCCAAAGCTAGTACAAGGAAGGAAATTATAATGTTCAGTACAGAAACTAATGAAATTGAGACTAAAAAAAATGGAAAAAATGAATGAGGAGCTGCAAAGGCTGGTGTGGCAGTGGCCATGAACCACTTTTTGGACCAGTGACCTCCTGGAAATCAATGAAAGTCTGGTGATCCAGCAGTGTGGGATGAGCATCTTTAATAGCAGGACAAAGGAAGAATAAACATAAAACATAACTGGAAGCTGTAATGCTCCAAAAATATTGCAGAATCAGATGATACCAAAACCTTCACCAAACCTGGAACTATGACATCGTTCATACCTGGATGTGCTGAAATGGAGGAAATATCAAGTCAATGTGTAATAGATTTCTACTAAAGTGAAACACTGTGATTGGTCCTCCACAAAACTCAAAATTGTATGACATTGACATTGATAGATATATATATAAACATTGACATTGATGTATATAGATATAGATTATATATATAGAAACGACATGTGGTATATATATAGAACAAAAACTATACTATGGACATAGTCTTTTTCATACTGTATTTGTCTGAGAATCTCCAAAAACAGTATGAAAAAGTCTATGTCCATAGTATAGTTTTTGTTCTTGGGAGAAGGTTGCTCTAGGACTGCTTAGCCCTTTTTTTGGTTTTGCATTTAACTCAATAAACTTAGGTTCAGGTTCAAAAACAAACAGAACTAATGATATGAAGAGCTGGTTCTTCAAAAACAAGCAAAATAGGCAAATCCTTAGCAAATTGGACCCTCCCCCAAAAAAGGAAATAAAAGACTTATATCAATGCAATTAGAAATTTAAAAGGTAATATTACAACAGACAGCACCTAATCCGTAAGATTACTGGTAACTACTTTGAAAATCTGCACTCCAACAAATTGTAGAAATTTGTATTAGAAATGGACAGATTCCTAGATATATATAAATTACCAAAACTGAAATAAGAAGATATAAACCCTTGAATAATACAATAACAAGCATAAAATTAAGGTAGTAATAAAAAAATCAACCAACTGTTAAAAGCCCAGGACCCAATGAATTCACCACGGAATTCTACAAGAACTACAGTCTTCTAATCCCAATACTCCTCAAACTCTTTAATGAAACTGAAGGGGGAGGAGTACTGCCAAACTCACGCCTAGATGCTAGCATTACCTTGATTCAAGAACCAGACAAGGGCTCAAGTGAAAAAGAAAATTACAGACCAACTTCCTTAAAGAACATAGGTGCACAATTCCTCAACAAGATACAAACAGAATGCAAGCAAAAGCAAAGACAAAATCACACGGTCATCTCAATAGATGCAGAAAAAGCCTTTGACAACATCCAGCATCCATTCATGATAAAAACTCTAAACAAAATAAGTACGGAAGGATCTTGTCTCAATCTGATAAAAGCTACCTATGACAAATCTACTGCCAGTATTATATTAAATGAGGAAAAACTGAAAGCTTTTCTTCTATAACTAATAACAAGACAAGGATGTCCACTGTCACCAATCTTCTTTAATATAGTAATTGAAACATTAACAAGAATAATCAGGCAAGAGAAAGAAATAAAAGGAATACATTTAAGAGAGGAAAAAGTCAAACTATCCTTATTCAGATGACATGACTCTACACATAGAAGACTCAACATATTCTACCAAAACACCCTTAGAACTAATAAAAAATCAGTGAGGTAGCAGATTACAAAATCAACACACGAAAATCAATAACATTTCTGGAACCAATAACGAACCCATCAAAAAGAAAATTAGGAAAAGAATATCACTCACAATACTTTCAAGAAAAATTAAAAACATGGGGATTAACCTAATTAGAACCTCTATAATGAAAAAGGAGATTGAACTAGACATCAGAAAATAAGATATCCCCCGTCCCTGGGTAGGCAGAACCATTATTATCAAAATGACCATACTTCCAAAACTGACATACAGATTTAATGCAATCCCAATCAAAATACAACAGCAATCCTCAAAAAGCATACAAAGCAATCCTAAAATTTCCATGGAACCAGAAAAGACCTAGAACAGCAAAAGCAGTTCTGGACACCTAGAGCAAAACAGCAGGCATCAAATCCCTGAATTTCAAAGCCACAAACCCATATTACAAAGCCACAGCAATTTTTTTTAAAGTGTGGTAAAGGTACAAAAATAGACATGTGAATCAGTGGAGTAGAACAGAGGATGCAGGGCTGGGGATTTAGCTCAGTGGCACAGCACCTGCCTGGCAAGCGCAAGGTCGTGAGTTCAATTCCCGGTACCGGAGAAACTAGAAAGGGAAAAGAAAAGCACAAAGGGAAGAGTCGGGGAAAAAAAGTAAGCCAAACCTGAGCCGTGCAAAAAAAAAAAAAAAAGAACAGAGGATGCAGCAACTATCCCAGGCACATTCAGCGATCTGACAAGGGGGGCCAAAGACATAAGCTTAAGGAAAGACAGCCTCTTTGATAAACGGTGCTGAGAAAACTGGGTATACACACGCAGAAGATTGAATCTATATCCATATCTTTTACCATGTACTAAACTAACATGAAAAAACAGATCAAAGATCTAAATGTTAAAACAGAAACAATCTGCTGAGGGTTAAAATAGGTAAAGCTCATAAAGACATAGGCAAGGACTTTCTAAACAGAGCTCCAGTTGCATAAGAAGTAACATCAAGACTCAACAAATGGGATCATATCAAATTACAAAGCTTCTTCACAGCAGAGTGAAGAGACAGTCTAGAGTCAGAGAAACACTGCCAGCTACTCTACAAACAGAGGACTCATATCTAGAATATATAAAGAACTGAAAAATCAGATCCTCTAAAATAAAAGACCCAACAAAATAATAGGCAACTGAAATTAATAAATACATCTCAAGCATACAAATGGCCAATAAATATATTTTTAAAACATTCAACATCACGGCTATTAGAGAAATCCAAATTAAAACAACACTGAGATTTCATCTTACTCCAGAAAGAATGGCTATCATGAAGTAATCAAATAGTAAGAATAGGAGTGAGGTCGCAGAGAAAAAAGAATTCTACCTTGCTGGTAAAAATGTGAAGTAGTATAACCACCACTGGAATCAGTATGAATATTTAAATTTAAATGGACAATGAGAGAGGATACAGGGAGACTGAGTCAAAATTAATGATCTAACCAAAACACTGATTAACCATACCTTAGGAAACAACTGCTGGTGTGAGAGAGCCTAATTTGACATGGGAAGATGCTGTAGAAGTGCATGCAGGAACAAACCTGTGTGAGCTCTTGCAAACACACACACACACACACACACACACACACACACACACACACAGCTCTATCAAGAAGAAGCACCCAAAGCTCAGCGTGACAGTCCCCTTTATGATGGTCATTATGTTAGAGTTTAAATTCGGGCCAGATTACTCCCCTCCCAGACAGCATAGACTTTGGAGAGCTGCGAGGGCTCTGAGCTCCGTTCTTCTGTGGCTGAGGCTGGGCACTCGGGTAGGTTGGGCAGCGGTTGAATTAATTCCCGACAACTACCTTAAGGCCTTCCACACCTGGGAGGGAGGGGGCTGGAGAAAAGCGTGCACGGGGTCTGCCACCTGTGCCATCTGCGGGAGGTCCGGAGCGTGGGCGGCACGCTAACGTTCCAGTGCACACTCCTCGAGGCATGGCTGGCCGGTGACTGTACCACTGTCTTTGCCACTGCCTTCACCTCGAATATCTCCAGGTGGACTGGAGAGGAAGACAGTGTACGGGGACTGTGCGCTAGAGGCCACAGGCGCCCAGCCCTCCCCTGGTCCCTGCAGGAGCGCCCCCACACCCATACTCCTCACTCACCTCCAAACTTCCCGTGGCTGCACTTGTCTGCGGCAGTGCTTGAACTTCCACTGTGTCACTCTAGGTGATGAGAATTAAGAGCTGGAGCCTGGTGGGGTCGCTGGGTGCCGGGACGAGCCCTGGGAGTAGCTGTGGGACCTCGGTCCCCTCTTCTCTCTTTTGCTTCCTGGGAATGAGATGAGAGGTTTGCTTCTTCGCCACAAACTCTCACAATGATGGGCTGCCTCAGCACAGGCCCCCAAACGGTACCCATCAGTCAGAGATAGAAACCTCCGAAACTGTTCATCAGAGCAGAGCTTTCCCTTTGTGAGCTGATTACCTCAAGTATAGCGCTGAGCAGCTAACACTGATGTGCTAGAAAAAATGAAAACGACTCACCTTTTTAAATCATGCAAATATAACCTTGATACCATAATATGACAAAAAACAAAATAAACTCATTTCACTCATGACCATAGTTCCAAAACTCCTGAACAAAAGTTTAGCAAATTATATTCTATACTGTTAAAAAGATAACAACTTATATCACGACCAAAATGAAATTTATTCCAATAATTCAAACTTCACTTAACATTAGAAAATTAATAAATGTAAATCAGTACATTAAAAGACAAATGATGCCAGGTGTACTGGTGCAAGCCTGTAATCCCAGCTCTCAGGAGGCTGAGGCAGGAGGATCACTGCTAGTTCAAGCCCAGCCTAAGCTACACAGTGAGTCCAGGCCAGCCTGAGCTATACAGGGAGACCCTGTCTCAAAAAAATAAATTAATTAAATTAAAAAATAAAAAACAAGGGAAGAAACAAATTATCACTTCAACAGATGCAGAAAAATCATCTATTTTATTGAAAATTCGTACCTGCTTATAAAAATATTCTGAGCAGACCATGAATGGAAAAGAACTTCCTTAAGCTACTAAGGCAATTAGATACAAACTCCTTGAAGCCAATGTCCTCTTAAGAGTGAAAAACTAAAAAGTATTCTCTTTAGCATAAACAAAATTAGGACACCAGTACCTCTATTTTTTCATTATCATACTAAAGATACTAGGGAGTACAACAGAGCAAAAAGATAAATAAATAGTATAAGAACTGGAAATGAAAACAGAGAGAGGTCTTTATTCATAAATTATGACTGTCTTCATAGAACAACCAAAAACCTGCACAGATAGTTTATTAAAATTAATAGTACTTAACAGATTCAATGCAATTCCAATTAAACTACCATTAGTATACCTCACAGATCTAGAGAAAACATTCCTAAAGTTCATCTGGAGTCAAAAGGGGCCTAGAATAGCAAAAGCAATCTTGAGAAACCAAGGAAAGGCAGGAGGCATCACAATTCCAGACTTTAAATTATATTACAAAGCTACTGTGATTAAATCAGCCTGGTATTGGTGCAAAAACAGACCTGAAAATCAATGGAACAGATTAGAAGATACAGATACAACTACAAACACATTCAGTCACCTTATCTTCGACAAGGGGGCCAAACATGTTCAATGGAAGGAAGATAGCCTCTTTAATAAATGGTGCTGGAAAAACTGGCTTTCCACATGCTGAAGACTGAAACCACACCCATGTCTTTCACCATGCACTAAATTAAAGTCAAAATGGATCGAAGATCTAAATATTAAAACAGAAACACTAATTTATTGGATGAAAAAGTAGGTAAAAGTCTTGACGACACTGGGGTAGGCAGAGTTCATGAACAAAAACCAAACTGCATGGAAAATACTTCAAAGAATCAACAACTGGGATCTCATCTTATTGAAAAGTTTTTGCACATCTAAAGAAATCACCAATAAAGTAAAATTAATAGTACTTAACAGAAAAATTACTGGATACTCAACAAATACGTAAAATCTAATTGCATTTATATCATCAAAAAAATCATAAATTTAACTTTAAGATAGCATTTCATGGGGGCTGGATATATAGCTCAGCACCATAAGTGCCTGCCTGGCAAGCATAAGGTCCTGAGTTCAATTCCCAGTATCAGAAAAAAAAGTAACATTTCATTTCTATTTTAGTTAATATGTAATTAATAGATGTACAAACATATCATCTCCTTGTGTGTCTATCATTTCTTTGGTTTTTTTTTTTTTTTTGGTGTTTTTGAGACAGGGTCTCACTGTGCAGTTCAGGCTGGTCTCAAACTCGCAACGATCCTCCTGCCTCAGCCTCCTGAGTGCTAGGATTACAGGTGTGTACCACCACACCCGGTTATCATTTCTTTGTGATGAGATCATTCAAAAACCTCTCCGAGCTATTTTGGAATATACAATACATTATTGTTAGCTGTACTCATGCTCATATGTAATAGAACAGGAGCAGTTATTCCTATCTACCTGTAACTTTGTACCCATTAACCATCTTCTACCCATCCTTCCCTTTTCTCCCCTCCCCAGTTTCTGTAATTCTGTACAAAACCATGATCGTATTTACTACTTCCTAGCAGTCAGCTTTTTATGATTCTGCAAATGTGTGAGATTAGATTCCATTTTAAATAGTATCCAAAATATAAAGTATATTAGAATGACTCTAATGAAAAAAAAACAAACATTCATGGGAAAAAAAACACATACAATTATAGACCAGTGAAAATCTAAGTAAATGGAAACACATAGAGAATTACCTCATAAAACATGCAATAAAATAAATTACTCTTCAACCATATGGTTCCTTAAGTTATATCACTTTCTGGAAAACTTTTATTAATATTTTACCCAAAGACATATTAAACATATATGGTAAGAAGTGTTATTTGAACATTATAAGTGTTAGACAAAAATATACCCTAATTTACCCAATACTTTCTAGGAAAAGAATATAATTTGGATCAATTTCAGTTGCATATCATTTGGATTGGAATTTTGTTAACAAAACTGTGTGGACTAGAGGTTACAAGGAAGTGAGAAATCCAAAGAGTTTCCTACTTAGCATAACAATAAATTGACTTTTAGGTGCAAGTAGGTGTAGAAATAGATGCTATTGAACTGCTTGAAGAGTTTGCTTTTGGGGGGGGGGTTGAGTAGCTTTTGAATGATCCTCAGACATTGTATACTGTAAAGGTCCAGTTCCTGATGCTTGGATTTCATACCTTCTTATGGAAACCAAGTTTCCATCCCAAATACATTAGATCTGGTGAGACCCAAACCTGGGGAAGTTGGTAAAAGTATAAGGTACAGGGATGAGGGTGAGGGTGGGCCACCCCACCGGTTTAGAAGGAGTCAGGGCACATACATTACAAATTTCAGTTATATAGCTGCCCAAATTTTACAAGAGTAGAAGTGCGGCTGAGAATCGAGGAAGTGAAATAATTACTGAAATTCTCTGGGTTCTGCAGAATTTAAATGGCAGATAGTTCAGTCCTGGAATGAGTTGGGAAAAACAGTGAGGTGAGCAGGAGAAAGCGGGGATTTTAAATTTGGTGAACACAGTTGTTACACCGAACAGGTAAGGAAGGTGGGCGCAGGAGGGAGCAGATCCTCAGAGGCGTGCTGCATGAGGGAGACCTTCATCGCTCTGCCCACCCCCGCCGGAGCAGTCGGCATGGTGCCCGGCTCAGTCAGTGGTCACTGTTGGGCTGAGCATAATACAATGTCGTGAGAAAATATTTCACTGAGGACACAAGAAATGGTAGTTAAGTCAGCAGAAAACATCACAGAAACTTAATTAAGACAAAGTCGAGAAATAAGTTTCCGAAGAGTTAAAAGGAAGTGGGGGCACAGCACCACGGTATTTGCCAGGGCCTGCTGGTCCGTGAATCGTCCGCTGCGGGACACCTAGCCTCCCCAGGGCAGCTGGGCCGGGCTTTGCCTTCCGGGGCCGCGTGCCATGGGCCTGTCCTCGC